TATAATAAATATAAATATAATATAAATATAACTATTACTAAATATTCAAATAAAACTTATTAAATATATAATTATTGTATAATAATTAAATTTATTTCATCCCAAAAATGACATAGCAATAATTTTTAAATAAAAATACAGTAAACTTAACTGTGTTCAATTTTAAAGGAACACTTACTGTATTTTGTATTTTTTTTATTATTAGGCTAATAGATGGATACGAAATATGGAAAAGGAAAATGATATAAAAATATGCAAATTAACGGATCATAATTTCATGAGAATTTTAGAAGCATGTATAAGAATTGGAGCACCTGTATTATTAGAGGAAGTCACTGAAACTTTAGATCCAAGTTTAGAACCTGTTTTGCTTAGACAATTATATGTACAGGTAGATACATATAGATATATAAGTTCGTTATCTATAAATTTGTTTGCATTAGTAATTATTAATTATATATATTTTATTATAGGGTGGAAGAACTTTGATAAGGTTGGGTGATAGCGATATTGAATATGATAAAAATTTTCGATTATACATAACAACGAAACTTGCTAATCCACATTATTTACCAGAAATTTGTATTAAAGTGACAATAGTTAATTTTACTGTTACTTCTCACGGTCTTCAGGAACAATTACTAGCGTTAGTCCTGTTCTATTTAATAATTCATAATATTATTTTAATACAATTTTAAAAATGAATAATATAAATCGTAAAAGAGAAATATTTAAATGTTAACAGTGACGTTGTACGACTTGAAAGACCCGATCTTGAAGAAATTCGAAACGAATTGATTGCTAAAATCAATTCGGATAAAGGACAATTGCAAAGTATCGAGGATAAAATACTAACGTTACTTTATGGATCAGGTGATGATATTTTAGATAATGAAGATCTTATAGAAACTCTTAACGAAAGCAAAGAAACTTCAGCAATTATTGCTACGCGATTGATCGAAACTGAAGCTACGGAAGAACAAATATCGATTGAACGTAACAAATATCAAAGTGTTGCAAATCGTGGTTCTGTTTTGTACTTTGTTGTTGCCGATTTAACTGATATTGATCCTATGTATCAATTCTCGTTAAAATATTTTAATCAGGTTTTAATATTTTCAATATAACGTCTACATAGAATATTATTTATTTATTTATTTTTTTTTTTTTTTTATAGATAAATCTTGACAATTTATATTATTCATTTTTAGATATTTAATTCTGTGATTGAAAGTAGCGAAAAAACTACGACACTTCAAGAACGTCTTATTGTATTGAACAAAAATATCACCATTGCAATTTATACAAACGTTGCTCGTGGTCTTTTTGAAAAACACAAATTAATATTTAGTCTTATGATGAACATAGCGATACAATTAGACGCAGGAATTATCAATCAATCAGAGTGGAATTTTATTTTACGTGGAGGAACTCACATCAAAGTTGTAAGTTGATTAATATAAGAACGATAAAAAATATGATCAAAATTAGATATATATATATATATATATATTTTTTTAATAGAATAAAAAACCGGATTGTCCAACATTGACGGATATTATGTGGAACAATGTTAATTATCTTGTTAGTACTTCGGAAAAATTTGCTAATATTTTAAAAGATGTATTAAAAAAGATCAACTTGAAACTCGATTATTTAGAAGAGGTAATATATATTACTTATTTTACATAAATACAAATTAATTTAATATACTTTATCTATAGGAAATTAATGTAAATCCCAAAAATGTGATTAAAGCGACCTACGATTGGAATAATTTATTAAGTGATATTGAAAAATTGATGTTATTAAAGTGTCTTAAAGAAGAATGTCTTATCTTTGGATTTACTGCTTACGTATCGAAACATCTTGGTCCCAAATTCGTAGAATCACCAGCAGCAAGTCTCCATTCACTGTACGGATAAAATGTGTTAACATTTTTATTCAAATTTATTGACCCGCATCAATCTAAATATGCCAATAATTATGACACTGAAATAAATCAAAAAATTACAAAAATTGATTTTAATTTACGAATATTTATAAAATCAATTTTTACATTATGTTTTAACTCATTCCATTGTCATAATTAACAAATTACATAATATATATAATAATTTCTATTCGTTTTACAAGTTTTCCAGACACATCTAACAAAATACCATTAATATTTGTACTCACTACCGGATCCGATCCCTTCAGTGCTTTTCAAAGATTCGCTATAGAAATAGAATACTTCGATAGATTCGATTCCATATCATTAGGACAAGGTCAAGGTCCTATCGCTGAAAAATTAATTAAAAATGGCATGAACGAAGGCAGATGGGTATTTTTACAAAATTGTCACTTGGCTGTTTCGTGGTTGATCAATTTGGAAAAAATTGTTGCTGATATATCTGAAATACCTGACAATGAATTGCATAAAGATTTTCGACTATTTTTAAGCTCAATGCCGAGCACTGCCTTTCCAGTTTCTATTTTACAAAATACAGTTAAAGTTACAAATGAACCACCAAAAGGATTGAAAGCTAATCTCAAAAGGGCACTTTTAGATTTACATGAGGATTTTTTCGAGGATAATGGTAAGACTTTATATCTTTTGTAGACCAGTAAAAAAGTATCTCATTAGTTTTACAGTAAAAGCACTTATACTATTAAATATTTAAAGTGTAACGTAAGATAAGGTGATAAATTTTGGACATTAAAGTTGATAACACATGTCTCGTCCCATTGGACTTATAAAATACACATACTATGAACAAAGGACAGTAATGTTATTTGATTTATTATATATATTTTTTTTTTGTTTAATGTTTATATATAGTTCTGAATGAAAGTTGGCGTAGAATGATATTTGGTATATGTTTCTTCCATGGAATTATTCAAGAAAGAAAAAAATTCGGTCCCTTAGGTTGGAATATACTTTACGAATTTAGTGATAGTGATCGAGAATGTTGTTTATTAAACTTGCAAATTTTTTGTGAAAGTGGTACAATACCATGGGATGCGTTAACATATATCACAGGTGAATTTTTTGTATAATCATAATATTGATATTGAATAATTAAAATATATTAAATATATATTTTTTAGCTGAGATTACATATGGAGGAAGAGTAACAGATTTTTGGGATCTTCGTCTTTTAAAAACTATTTTAAATATATTTTTCTCCCCTAAAACTTTAGATATTGGTAAATATTTATTATTGAAGAAAAATACTTAAATTATGTTATATAAAATTATTAATGTTCGATTTAAATATATTTTCAGATTATATTTATTCAGCATCTGGTATATACTATTGTCCAAAATATGAAAAACTTAAAGAATACATTGATTTTATTGATATTTTTCCAATTGTTGAAGATTCTGAAATTTTTGGGATGCATGAGAATGCAAATATAGCCTACCAGGTAAGAATGCAATTAATTTACTAAAATAATTCTATCAATATGTATATATATAATATATTATTCAATTGACTACTTTAAAATGAACTATAGCTGAACGAGACTCAATTTATTATAAATACTATATTGGAAGCAGAACCTAAAGAAAGTATGGTATCAGATATTAAATCTACAACAGATATAGCATATGAAATGGCAGATATGATTATGGATAGAATACATTTAAACATAGATTCTCAATTGTGTCACTCTTCACATTTTACAGTAAATTAAAATCAAATTTTATCATAATATATAAATAAAATATTTAAATACTTTTACAATATTTCTAATTTGTAGGTAGATGCAAAAGGTAGAATACCATCCTTTACTACCGTTCTTTTACAAGAAGTAGATAGATATAATAAACTTTTAGCAAAAATACATGCCTCGATGGAAAATTTACAACGAGCTATTAAAGGATTTGTTGTTATGTCAGAAGAACTTGAAACTGTCTTTACTGCTTTAATAAATAATCAAGTAAATGTTGATAATTAAATAAATGTAAATATTTACAAATATTAAAAGTATATAAATAAAAATAAATTATTAAAATTAGGTACCGCAATTGTGGCACAACGTTAATGTATATCCATCTTTAAAAACCCTAGGAAGTTGGACAAGGAACTTGGAACTTCGTATTGATTTCATAGAAGTAGATTTTTATCAACGCCCATTTAAATAGCCTACAACACATTTTCAATTTTCTTTTTATGAATAGATGTGGTTATTACATTCTACGCCATTGTCTTTTTGGATATCTGGACTATCATTTCCACAAGGTTTCATAACTGGCATATTACAAACTTATGCAAGGAAGTATAATACTCCAATTGATCAATTAAAATTGGATTTTCAAGTCACTGACGTTGTTCTAGATCAAGAAGATATCGAAACTGCACATAAAGAAGCAAATAAAGAAGTAGATATACATATGTGCTGTTATATAAATACTTAAGTTTCTACTTTACAGGTACCAGAAGCATATAAGGGCTTAGAAGTTCCACAAGATGGAGTATTTATACATGGTTTATTTATTGATGCTGGTAGATGGGATTTTCAATTCAAAATTTTAGTCGATGCAAATATAGGTAACTAGTAATAAGAATTAAAAATGTTAGTTTAATGAATTCTAATTCCATGTTATAATAATTATTATAGGTGAAATGTATCCTTCGCTTCCAGTTACACATGTGAATCCAGTTTTACAATTACCTGAACAAGATTTAAGATACATTTGTCCATTATACAAAACTAGTCTACGTGCAGGAGTTTTATCTACAACAGGTCATAGTACAAACTTTGTTTTACCTCTATTACTTCCATCGGTACAACAACAATCATATTGGATATTGAAAGGAACAGCATTACTAATCGAAATACCAAACTAATTATCTATGAGATTCATTACAGTTCTAATTTAATATTCTAATAAAATAACAATTATTTTTTTTCTTTTAATTAAAGTAATTATTTAATTTACTTGTTTTTGTTTTATAATAAATAAATATAAATATACACAGACATAGTTAGTACGATAGTTAATACATATATATACTTAACATAAAGTTAATATTAGATCTACTTTTATTAAATTAAAGCGTTTTTAAGGCACTTGCTCATGTTTTGTTTTAGTATATAAGAATATTAGAAAATAAATTCTCTTTGTTTACATCTTAATACATGAGCATGATACTGATAATCTTCTTTATCTATAGACCATCTTAATAGCATATAAATAGTAAGTATCGAAGCCAGTAGAAATCTGTCAAGACTATAAAACATTGAAATTATTATAAATAAATTTGAATTATAAACAAGATATGATAATATTACCTGTGACATTATAGCAATATTAATTTTACCTCATAAATGGATGTATCCATAAAATTATAAGAAAACCAATGAAACTGGGATGTCTCATATGTGAATAATATCGTCGTAATTCTTTAGATTTTGTACTCATAGGACTAGGCCTTGCTGTAATCTTATAATAAACTTGTCTGAAACCGATCAATTCTGAAATGTCCATTGTTAAGCATCCGCTGTATATGACAAACCAACCAAAGATATGTATAAGTGTAAATATCGACCATAATATATTATTATTAGATATATCAATATTCCAAATATTTATCCATGGTATTATTTGCCAATTGTCCAGTAAAAAGGAAAGAACAGCTGCGCTGCACGTATTATACAAACTTCTTTCTATTTCATCAATGTATAACTTTTTCAAGAAATTTTTCACAGTGTCATTAGCCATAAGCGAATGTTGCAATATGAAAAGACTTAATAAACATGAATCTATTAATAATGACCATAACGTAGACAAATTTAGATTTCCATCTGTAAATAGATTTATATACATATTACTTGATAGTCTCATCAGTTTACTTTATTAAATATTGACAATCATCTTTTATATCAATTTACCTTCGGTGGACACAAGTTGAGTTTTCTGATGTTCATTAGAATTGGAAAGGAAATATATCAATTTACGTAGAACGAAAAAAATGTAAAAGAAACTTGTTATACATAATATAACAAGAAATGTTTTTCTAATCATTGTGCTGATAGAAATGAAGTAATGATGTAACTTGAAGTCTAAGGCTAAGAAATAATTAATAACATTATTCATCATTTGTATTATTATTTTTAACGTTATTTATATTTATTAGTATATTTAAACGAAATAATATTGTACTTACAAAATGTAATGCTCTAAATACAGTCTCGTTATCCTTGAAAGCTAAACATAGCTTTCAGTAAAATTAACCATGTTAAACATTTAACCTTTTTTTTCAGACATTGCATATTGCAACAAGATCCATATCAATATGTATTAATGCAATGTTCACTCTTTAAATTATTCATTCTCGCCAAGTTTGCAAGATAATGTTGACAACCCATGTATAATGACAGCGAAACACTAAACATACGAAACAATCATATTGAAGATGGCGCCACTAGCTTTTTTGTTTCTATTATACTTGTATAAGATAAATCAAATAGAATCTTGATATGTCATATTGTTACTTTTTTGTATCTAACTTATAGATGACGCTTCATCTCAATTTTATCTTTTTAAACTACAGTAACTGTATACATATAGGTATTTCTATTTAAATGATCAAAAATTGTAAAAATAAATCTAGGGATCTATAAATTCTTGGATAAATAATAAATCGATAATTAATTTTTCTTCATTATATACATTTATTAATATTTTATAACCTATTTGTCAACACATTTATATCATCTTTCAAGAAATGCATCATCATTCAAGAAATGCATTCCAAACATTAATATTTAACAATATGTTTTAAATTATTTCTTAAAATATTGTCAACTAGATTTCTTTTAATACATTTTTTGAACATTTACTTGAAATATCAATTAAATACTGATTTTTACATATATGTAACTAAATGCATCTTTATACCCGTAATGCATGTAAAAGAGTAAGCTTACAGTTTGTTCTCCAACATCAAAGCTTGATTGCAGAAAGTAATGGTTAACTCACAAGGATTTTGATACCATGGTTCACCATCGATTTGTATGGCACATGATTTCAATAATTTCACCTAAATACGCATAACAAAGTATTTTGACTTATTAACTCTTCAATTAAACGAAATTAAATAATAAATATGTATAAATTATACTGTACTTTGACAACACTAGCTTGTCCCAATCGATGTGGTTGAGAATAACCAACTTGTAATTGAGCCATGTGAAAAGATGAGTAAAGAGCGCAAACCTCTAATTTTTTATCATCAATTTTTTGCACTCCTACTTCGTTTTGTCCACCTAATCAATTTTATGAGATTTGTTTAATAATGAAAAAGAGAGAACGCAAGCAAAAAAGTAGCTAAAGGAGGAGAACCTTCCAATCCTATATTCCAGAGGTCAACACCAGCAGCCCATGATGGAATGTTAAGTATAACTATGCTTTCTATGGAAGGTAAATCTACTCTTTCATCATTTAAATAAACTTCTAAATTCTTGTCAAGATTTTTGCATTCTCTTTCCATAACTTGTTGTGTACCAAAACATATATATAATAACTGTAAAAAGTACATAGCTATAAAATTCTTATCTATACACTTATAATAATCAAAAGTTTGCAATAAATTAAATATGATACCTTATTAAAAATTCTATGACTGAATAAATAAAAACGACTTTGCCTTGTGCGATGAAAATCTAATGTTACTTGAGCGTCCACTCCTACGCTTAGATAATTATACATAAAAAGATTTTGTTGCGATCCTGCAGATCCATTTTGTGGTTTAACTGTTACAGCCCATCTATATATAATAGACATTTAAAATAAAATAAATATAAAATGAACTCTTCGCATTATAAAATCATCGCTGATATATTTTTGTTTAATTCATGATCAGAGTTAAAAAATAAATTATAGTGCAAAGAGTTAAAATATATAATTAAAATATAATCACTCAAATCACCTATCAAAGTTGACCTTTTCAGCAAGTTGTATCTTTTGTAAAATTTCACTAGGATCTAAATTAGAATCATGCTCCTTGCCCCATCCCAATACTCTCGACAAATCATTTCCTGTTCCTAAAGGAAGTATTGCAACGGCTGGAACTGGCTAGATAAAATAATATTTTTTGAATTTTGACTGATTTATTATAAGTTTACTAAATTTACCTTTAATTGTAATTTATGAATAATATTAAGCAACCAAGCAATAGTTCCATCACCACCTGCAACAAGAACTGTACAGGGAGTATTTCCAAGTAGACGACACCACATAAATATTGCGGTTGGATCTTGCTCTGCTAAATCCATAACTTGTGCAGGATTTAATAATCCTCTAAACAATGATAAAATTTCTTCCCCATCATTATTACCAGATTTCCTGTTTCCTATAAAATAACATTATATATTACATATCTTTTATTTTATTCAATAAGATTAGTGACCAAACAATTTAGTACAAAGCAATAAGATGCAACAATACAAATGTTTATAACTACATTAGTTAGTTACCAACAACAATAAGAGGATTCCAACCATTCCAATCAGGTTTTATAACTGAATGCAGTACTAATTTGCGTCTCATTCTTCTGCGCTTACTTATAGCTTTTAAGCTTTGAGGTGGAATTATCATTAATCTAAATCTACCAAAGTCACATACCTACGATATAAAATTATTTAATGAGAAATTCGTGTTTAACAAAAAAATAAATAAATACAAAGATACATATTTGCAAATTCTACCTCAGATATTGAAAGTTTACAAGAATCATGAACACTTCTTTGACACCAACAACACCACCAATCCATAAGGCCGAGTTCTGTGTCACATTCTTCATTACAAATAGCACACATTGCTACTACTGGTAAATTACCTTTTATTTATCAGGAAATGAAAAATATTTATGATTATGATTATTATAAAGAAATACTCTTTAGTAGTGTCAGTAGCAACACAAATAATACTTTCTTATAATGAAAACAATTATACCTTTAATCCAATGGTGTAACAATTGTTCATCATTTTCCATAGTAATAGCTTTACAACGAAGTATTTTATTTGCTGTTTTGACACATCCAAGATCTGCACATACTCCACATGAATCACATAACAAACCATTGATATTTAATAATAAACTTTCACAAATACTGCAGTAATATGCCTACAATAGAAATCAAATTTTTAAGAAATATACACTTAAATATTTTCATTACTATTAAACAATTTTGTTGTGTAAAGTTGATTTATAATATAAATATTATATTATATTATATACCTTAGTTACTTTTCTTATGGGTTTCCAATTATGTTCTTGAGTAACATCTCTTATATGAATATATGTCTCTTCTGTAATACGTCTAAAAAAATTAATAACTAATACAAAAACTAACATAGTAGATAATGTTGGCAGTATAACAGTTTTAAATCCTTCTTCCCACATGTTTGTCCTGCGTAAATGTAATTCAATGTAAAATGAAAATTTAGAAATAATCTGAAACATAAATAACAATGCATTGTTAATAAATTGTCATCAATATTTACCTTTAAATAATATAACAGAAATTCTAATAATAAAAATAAAAATTACATACATCTATTAATTGTTAATTTCGGCACAACATTCATTAATCCGTGATTGACAACTTCATCGCATTTGAATCCTGTGCACTATTTGTTACATTGCATTCACAATTAAAAGAAATGTAATCTTTTCATTGCCAACATTTTATATTTCCAAAATGCGATATAAAATCATTAAATATATGCATTTCGAATCTTTGTTTCATTGGATATTGCGCCTTACAAAGTACACAGAAATGTCAATAATCTTTTTCAACACTAATTAACATTATATCATCTTTAGAATGTCACTGTTAAACCACTATTAGTTGATAAAACTAAAATTGTTTTACCATTGGCTGCAAAGGTGTTATCCAATGTTATCATCAAAATTATAAACCGTGCGGTTGGACATACGTTTATAGGTTATATATTTATATGCATTTTTACGAAGCACCATTGGTAGTTGCTTATGATTCGATCACATTAACTATAAATTCAATTGAACGTTTTAAAATAAAATAAACGTAATGTTTTATCTTTGATGTCTAATTATAATACAAGTTATAAATGGTCTAACGTCAAATAGATTTGTATAAGAAGAATGGAAATAATTTATACATGGATCAAGATTTGATGTTGAGTTTTAAAAATCTAACCTAACCATGGAGTATGTGGGTGAACTAATAACACTCGGTATTGATAGTATCATTTTTGGTATTTGTTTGAAACAGTATTTGTATTGCAAAAATGCTATTACTGCTGTAAAGGTAATTATTATTTACATTAAAATACATTTTAATCTTTTACATTTGAAATTACATTCATTATTATGTCAAAGTCATCTATATAGTTCTTTGTTGCAAAATCTATTTCTATAAACATAATTTAATTTGATATAAACTTACTTAAAATAATTTGTTATAGAAAGCAGATTTCTATGAAGTAGATTCATCTTTGGAAGAAGCTGTAAGTAATTCTCCTGACAACAGAATAGGATACATTGCTGTCAGGGGTACAGTCAAGTCTTTGGGCAAACCACTGCATAGTATTAACAGAAAAGACATAACTGGAGTTTTACAAAAACTTAGTATCAAGGAACATGTGGTCGCCAGAACTACAGCAGGCTTTTGGTATAGTATTATTTAATTAGAGAGTAATCATATAAAACAATTAATAATATTGTATACGATACTTTATTTTAATATGTATTATTTTTTACTCAAAGAAACTATAACAATTATATTATCTATTATATAGGTCCAACCAAGAACGCACAATGCAAAAGATATACAATACAATACCATTTGTCTTGCAAAATAGCCGGTATAAAGTAGAAGTTCATGATCCATTATCAGCAGATATTTTAGACATGGATGTAATTTCAGATTATTTTGAACCTAATGTATCTTCTTTCTCTGATCATTTATGGGGTTTTTTCACGGGTGAGTTTTATTATTTTTACTCATCTAATTTAAAGTATTAACAAATTTTGGTAATAATTAAATCTTACTTATAGGAGTACGTCAACGTGGTTTACAAAGTACAGAAGAAATGCTTCGTGAAGGTGTTGTTATAACAGGAATTGGAGAAATTTCATTAGTAAATAAACAAAATTCATTAATATTACAACCTCCAACCGATGGTTCTCCATTTTACTTAACAACTATGTCTATTACTTCCTTACTTAAAAGGCTAGATGAACGTAAAAGAACGTATAAGTAAGTTTGATTTTATATTTATTAATGAAACATGAATTAAAGTAATAATAAATGAAATAATATTTATCTTTTAGATGGTTGTGCTTCATATTTGGTGCAATTATAATATTACTTAGTGGTGTGGTAGCTCGACGTTTTTGGAAAACTAGACAAGAAAGAAGATCAGCTGAACAATTGAGAGAAAGTCTTGCAGAATCTCGTAGACAGAGACGACAATTCGTAAGAGATTCGGATCTTAGAGAAGATCAATTGTGTGTTGTTTGCCGATCAAATCCTCGAGAAATAATTTTATTACCATGTGGGCATGTCTGTTTATGCGAAGATTGTGCGAATGGTATTGTTGATCAATGTCCTATTTGTAGAGAAAAGATTGGCCAAAAAGCTGCCGCGTACATAGTTTGATTCTAATTCTAATGTAAGTACAGTAGAAATTCAATTAAAATTCACGATGAAACGAATTATAATGAATATTTGCATTGAAATATTTTTAAACAAATTGAAAATGACTAAAAAAAAAAGAAAGATTAAAATAACAAACACGAATATAGATCTAAGTTTATTTCACTGGACTAATTTTCATGTAAATATAAAAAATCATTAGAAGAAAAGAAATATTATATAGTTAAATATCATATTTTTGTATAACAAAAGATTGTAATTACAGTGTATGTATTTATATTTAATAGGTATTATCATCTCTCTAATTATGATATGTTAATTAAGAGCAAGATTTTGATATTAATGGAGTTTAAACTTGCAAAATGGTAAATCTCAAGTTTTATTATGATATTCCAAATATTGGCTACTAGTCAAAAAAAAACTAATGCTAGCTACTGCAATACTCGATTTAATACAATTAAATAATATTTTAATGTAATATAATTTTTTGTTTAAAGAAGAATAACAATACTGATTTAGTTAGCTTATTTTTATTTAAAATCTTATATACAAAATTTTTGTATAGAAAGTAAAAGTCTCAAAACAATAACGTGAAAAGTGATAATAAAAAGTCAAGTGATAAAATGAAACAACAATTAATATTAAGAATAAATAATTGATATTATTTATTATGAAAATATTTATTCTTTGAAGAAGTGAAAATAAAAATACAATCATCACAAAACAGAGACCTGTAAATATATTATTGCATATTACATAAAAAAGAAAAAAACAAGTTAAAGACGTTCGCAAAAAATAATTTCAAATATCTGAAAAAAGTAAAAAAATAACACTTAAATAATGATAAAAAGTGTAGCAAACATTGATACAGAAGTTAACTTCGAAATATCTCATACCTATTTACCTCTACCTTTATCGCTCTCTTATCATACACTCATCATTTAGCTACCGTATATATATATATATCATTTTTCTCTATTTTAATGATATAACCCAATTTATAACAGCAGATAGATAAATATAAAATACACCTTGCTAACGTACGAACATAACTTCTTCATAGTGTACAACAAATGAATTGCAAAATAGTGCGAAATATCATTTTACGCGTTCTCATATTTTTCTTCCCCAAAAAACATTACATAAAAAAACAAAACTGATAAAGAGAGATAGAATAAATTATTAGCAATTAGTGACAAACAATTTCTACAATTTATTGCTAGTGTTTAAACTGGTTCTTAATGTCTTCTTAAAAAGAAAGAAAGAAAAAGAAACAAATGAATATAAAAGAAAAACAATGTAAAAAGCCCGCGCTAAAGAAAGAGAAAGAAAAAAAGATAGAATCAAACGTAGCCATGCAATTTCTTTCGCAATTTCCATCATCTATTTTTCGATCATTCTTAATTTTACTATACTAACTGGCGTATTCATTTTCACGTCGCAAGGCGGACCCACGCAATGCTTTACGACGATCGTGGCATCGTTTTTGAGGCGTTACATTCCTGACGCGCCTACTCGTTCCTTGCCGTTCCGAAGGCAAGCTTCGAGGCATCATACAAGCAAGAAGACTACTATACAACATGACTCTGTGTAGGAGAAAGAAGAGAAGAGAGCTTTTGCAGAGTTTCTCTACCTCCTACCGAAGCAACACAACTATACAGCAGGATTGTAGAACCCTCCTGCTGCTGCCTTGTTGCTTGGGTTTTCTGTGTGCAGAAAACGTTTCGTTCGGCTTGCAAGATTGTCTTTCTTTTCTTTCTCTTTCTCTTCCTCAGCATGTGAGCGAGCGAACGAGCATGCTGTAGGTACCTAGTATATCTTACATGTATATTATATACATTCATACAAATGTATACGTGTGTATATAGCAATGTACATATGTTAAAACTTATATGTGTCCCCTTTAGAGATGTATCTACATGAATACATATATTGTATACATATATATATATATATATATATATATATATATATATATATATATGTATGAACGTGCGCACATAGTGCTTGGCGCGCCTGCAGACAGCGACCACCTTATTTATCGTCCTCGTTCTTTTCCTCTCTCGAAGCTGCTGATTCTCCCCGACCCCTCACTTTACCGCCCGCCATCTTCTATCTTTCTCTTTTCTTCTTTCTTGAAAACCCCCGCCACTGCAACAAGAATCACGCGAGCCACCACGATCAACCGAAAATACGCGTATCGCGCTGTTGTCGGTTCACGAAATTCCAAAGAGAGATAGAGAAAGAGAGAGAAACTTTCAATCCTTTTTTTCAAGGAGACTTTTTGCTATAAAAACTTGAGGGAAAATATTTACAGTAAACCGGTACTATATGTTACAAGAGAAATACAAAAAAGATAGAGAGAAAAAGAAGAAATATATATAAAGAGATAAAAATAGAATTTTATTTATAAATACATTACAAATGATAAATGAGAAGGGTAAATTGAGAGAAAAAGATTATATATATATATGTTGGACTTCCGCTTGGATCTTCTTTTCCTCGTTCTGAACATTTTCTTCAGTACTCTCATATCATCACCACACATATACACCATACACAGATACGTTTAACTTGAGACGGGGATTATGTTGTCACGGGAGAGCAGAAAATGTTATATACAGCAAATACATACACATATACTGTATATATATGCATAGAGACACAAGTAAACAGGTAAAGGCGCGAGGAGCTCATTACGATGCACCTCTCGATGTCGCGACGTTTTCGAAGATCGTCGATGCGATCGCATTTGTCGAAGGGAGACGGCCCCTCAGTATATACAGGTTTCTTTCTAAAAAGAAAAAAAAAATGAAAAGTAAGAAGGTACTTTTGAATCTACACGAACGCATCTTTCTTCAAGCGGGGAGAACTTACTTACAGGTATATATATATACATATATATATACATGATGCATATTTAAACGTTACATTCCCTTTTTTTCATCCACCGCACATCATGTCATATCTTCCGCATTATCATTGACGATAAAATTTTTAATTGGATAAAAACTAATTAAATGCTGATAAATTTAATTTCAATAATTTTCTTGCCCCGTTTGTAAATGAATTATTTAACCATCAGGTATGGTAGTAGTAGTAGTAATAGTATATAATATTAAAGAAAATAAGAATAATATATTATAATTTTTAATTTGTATCATATAATCGAATTATTTTCTTTTTTATTTTCATTCATTTTTCAAAACACAGTTAACACATTCGCTGCCGGCATATTTTTTCCTTTTTTAATACTGAGTATCGGCAAAAATAATGAATTATTTAAATTTATATTTAAATAATAAAATATAATAATATATAATAAAATATAATTATTTAAATATTATATATTTAAATTAATATTATATATTAAAAATTAAATATTATATATTTTATTATTATTATTATTATTATTATTATTATTATTATTATTANTATTATTATTATTATTATTAATTGGCATTAGGAACTCGGAAGTTCATTGCCGCAAATACCAAATCTCGCCATGGTTCCCGTCCCTAAGCGCAAAATACCATATATTTATATTATAAAATTTACATAAATATATAAATTTATTTTTATAAAACTTTCAAAATTTAAAATAACGTGAATCACGTCAGCGGCAACTAGGAATAGAACTTGAAAAGACGTGAATTTACGTCAGCGGTCGCGAATGTGTTAATAATTTTTGACAGAATAAACAAATATTACAATTTTGTTTTTAATTATTATTCTATATGTACGGTTTTTAAATGTATTCGAATTATTGGCAGATTCAATTAATATTATACTAAAATTTATGTGATCCTAAAAGCAATCATCATTTCTACCTGGAAAATATACGAAAAGAACTTTCCGTGGTTCAATATATATATATATATATGTTGTACGGATAAGAATTATCGTATTACCATTTACCATACATATCTCTACATATATACTTATATTTATCTGTATATTTATATATGTAAATATATAACACAAAAAAAGTTATGATCGCTTACTTAACACTAAACCTACAGCAACAATGTGTGGTAAAATGGCTGCATATTCCACATGTAATTTTGTTAAAAAAAATGCATTGAAAACGCATGAGAAATATACAATTAATTACATTAATTTTTTTAAATAAAAGAAAATATAATATATTCAATATTTGAACCGCTAAAATCTCATTCTGCATGAAGATACATATATTGGGTTGGCAAGAAAGTAATTTCGGTTTTCTAGTGTGAAATAAAACTCAATTGTTTCTAAATTAACAGTTGTAAATAAAATTACACGGAAAACCTAAAAGTGTCAACTACCAAATCTTAAAAGAAAAAAATTCTAATATTAACAGAAAAAATAACGAAACAAACATCTATCTATTGGTGCAAGTTGAAATTACTTTCTTGCCAACCCAATATATACATACATTTTGTTAAAAGCGGTCATTTGACCACTCAAGATAGAAATAGGTATCGGTATAGGCTTAGTGTTAAAAAAAAATTATTTAAAAAATTACGAACTTATGTCGTAATAAAATGTAATATTATCCATCGTATGTCTTAACAGCATATAAGATCCGCCATGGATAAAAAGTTCTTTTAAAAGAACATTTACTCGTTCGACTCTCATTATTATCCTTCTTCTTATCCTTGTGTACACCTTGTGTTGGTATCGTAGTTGATAAACATAGTTGTAATAGTAGTAATAGTTTAGGATTATGTAGTTGTGGCATATGTTGATTTCGGAATCCTGACGACATCTTTACCTGACAGTATTAGAAAATTCAACTGCAATCCAATGCTGCCCGGTAAGATGTGAACAGATACTCCGTACGATGACACCTTTTATCCAAGGACATTCACTGGGGACACCAACCACCACCCGGTTTAGTCGTCGTGGTTCGCCTTAGCCCTTACACATTTCGCTCGATCACAACCCGTCCTCGTCGTCGTTCATTCACCTGCGTAAATACTCGTCTTTACTTTCTTTGCCATCAGGTTTTCCAATTTCTTTTTTTTTTTATTTTATTATCCTTATCAACGACGAATCGTCGCCATTTATTTCTTTTTCGTTCTCTCGGTTTTGTTTTATTTCTTCATATCCAGTTCTTTTTATTTTCTGTAAAAATAAAATATGTAAATATAAATATGTGTGTTAAGGATTGTAGATAGAAAAATTAGAGAAAGAAGGATGTAAAAATAAAAAGAAATGATATTGACGTAGTATATTGGCGTAGTATAATGGAGTAATATAATGGCGTAGTATATATATTATATATATTATATATATAAAATAAAATATATAAAATAAAATATATAAAAATATAAATATATAAATATAAATATAAATATAAATATAAATATGTGGGTTAGGGATTGTAGATAGACAAATTAGAGAAAGAAGGATGTAAAAACAAAAAGAAATGATATT